TGCCAAACAAAACAGCCTCCGCAGAACTGCGCTCATTACCTTAATGCTTCTAACAGAACCAGCCCATTTTCATGAACATTCAGAGCACTAAAGTCTTAAGTACAGCCACCGCATGAAGTGTTTTTATCAGAAGTGCAACGGAAATGACACATTAAATATTAAAGCCTCTGCCTGCACAGCTGAAGAGACAGCTTGTTCTCTGAACACCCAACCTCTGGAACCTCAACCAACCGTGTTTTGCAGCGTCACGCACACAGACCTTTCTACCTGCAATCTGCTGCTTTTTTTTAGCTCAATAAACAGCTATTTAAAGACTTCAAACAGCCATCAGGACAGCTGACAGAATCAAGCACCGTCAGAGAGGTTTTATTCAACAGACCTACACAACTGCGCACATAAAACATCATCTACAGATACAATTGAAAGGAAGTGTAGGCTTACGTATGTTGGAGTATCCAAAGAATCTGTGTTCACCAGTACTGGAGGGGGATTTGCCTATAACAAAAGAATAGAAAAAAAGAATTATACAGCATTAGAGAAAGTAATACTAATGGTAATGACACAACATTTAATTTGCTGCGTTTCTCAAAGTTCTGTTAAAAAGCAGCCTCAGCTTGAGAATCATAAAAATTCACCTTCTGAAACACTTGTTTCTACCCTGAAAAATTGCTTTCATGTCACACTCTTCCGAAACTTTGAGCTCGTCTTTGTATACAAGTTTGGCCATTTATTAGCTTGTTTTCTTGTGTCATGCTGCCATTTGTCACCGTGTCAGTTACCCTGGTATTTGTGGTATGACATTCAGAGGTTTCTTTACCAGCCAATATCTTAAAACCAGGTTTGGGTGGATGCGATTCCCCTTTCTTCCTATCAGGAACATCCTCCCCCTTCAACCTGGAAAATGGAAACTTAGAGATATGGAAACTCATGGAAGAAAGGGTTTACAAAACTGACTTGTGAATGAAATGCACAGCAGCCATTCATCTGCCACGCTGCTGGCTGCATGTGCTTCCATCAGAAAACTGCTGTGGACCCACAAGCCGTAGCAGTCAGACATCACTGCCACAGAAACACGAGAGCACAGTGTTCTTGCTAGCCAGGAGCTGGCAGAGCAAGCTAACACTTTTCTGAGAAAAATGTGATTTCAACTGAATGAAAACCCATGTAGACTGGTGACATTTATCCAAAATACTTCCAAATGAACAGGGGAAAAAAAAGGCACACAGAAATATTCCAGGCTCCAAATATTGTTGGTGTATTTAATTCAACAGGACCTTCAAACTCAGTGGCACAAAATGAAGTTAATCTCTGAGATTTTAACAAAATATGTATAAAAATCCATTATCTTTAAAATTAACACATTCTTTATCTTTCTCATTTAAAAAAAAACTTCCGCGTGTGTGTAAATAAATTTAGGGGCAGTTTAACGGGCTGCAACAGAAGCTAGTACTAAACTCATTCGAAGAGAAACTTAAGACCCACAAAAACATGGCAATGCCATTAACTATTCATATTCTCCACTTCAGTTTCATTACAATGACAAGACACTTCTAAAGAACTCGTGAGTTTTCAAAGCCCCAGAAGCCAGGAAGTAAGCGATGTCTCAGAAGTCTCTTACAAAAGACTGGGATGAACAATTTATCATCACCAGAGAGGAGCCACCAATCTGCTCAGGCTGCTGTGTCAGAAGGGAGGCCTGCACCATTTCAGAGGTACCAATATCAGGTGGTATCTACTCAAGGTAACAGAGTAGACTATCCAAAGAAAATAAAGCCAAAAGGATGACACGTGTGGCTGTCAAGATGCCACCAAACATCCTTCTCGCCCAGCAATTCTCTCAGCAGAAGCACGGGCACACTTCATGCAGCACAAAAGTCAAGCACTAGTTACTAGCACGTTGCCATCCCTCTCAACCATTTCCTGCCATTAGGTTATATTCCAATTTCTGCTTCTTACTCAAGTGCAAGTTCTATTAAAATACAATTAAATTAAAAATAAGATCCTCTACTTAAAAGAAAAATCAACTAAATTATGTATCACTATCCCTTTCAGAGCTTTATAACTGACACGATTTTAAGGAAAACCAAACAAGGCATTGTATTACAAAGAACCCGACTGAACACGAGGCACTGGGAGTGTAATGTGCACTGATCTACAACGGCCTAGCACACATACAGACACTTTATATGTGTGTACCAACTATTCAGAGAGTCTTAATTTATAACTAGAAAGCAAAGCAAGGATTAATTTTGAAAGTTCAGTCACGTTCTTTACACGCCACCTAATTTTTGGATTTATTTAATATTAGGACATTGTAATATCCAAGTGTACTCAACAAAAGCCGTGCCAGCGAAAGCTCTTTTTCTTGAGGCTGACAAGTGTTCCTCTGCTCACGTCTCAAAAAAAGACGACGAAAATCAGCTACAAGCACATTGCCATTAGCAGGGGAGGTTTCTGTGTGAACAGTGCCTCTGAGACACAAATAAGCCAAAACACCTTCCATGCCTTCAGTGATCGTCCCTACCACTCCTCCTGCATTTATCTGAATTCTCCATCAGGAAGCAATACTTTACCACCATTTCCAAGCAGGCAGGAGCAGAGCTTTGTGCCAGGCATTCCACAGGTACGCCTGGACACTGCAAAGACGCGGGGCAACATCCAACTCAGAACAGCAGATGTTTTTGGAAGGAAGACCTCCTGTTTCTGTCTGTTTCGCAAGAGTTCTCCAAATTACCTAACACGTTCAAGCTTCTGTGCCAGGGCTTGTTCAGGTATTTAAAAGCCATCTGACAAGTCTGTTTACAAGTAGACTGCGGGCTTGCCTAAGGGGCAAAGAGATTAACAAAACAGAGATGTATCTACTGCAGAAAAATGCATCTGCCAAATCCAAAGTCGATTGTAACCTTATGGTATTTTCTAATTGTTTAGAATCCCAGACGGTGCAGGATTACACCGCTAACTCCTGCAGACGTTTACATGCACTCCGAGGCACAGACCACTCAATTCTTGCTCTTCTGCTTGTAATGCAGTGTCATCGATGGGCAGTAATGCTGTCACAGCAATGGCAGGCGAGGAAAATACAAATACATATAGCACTATTTATTTTATTATCATTTAAGTTTAGCCTACTGGCAACTCCCTGAAAGTAAATGCTGCCGGAGACTCTGTTATCTTTATCCATCAGGGATCACAACAGAACTCCAGTGGTTGCACTGCTCTGTCTGCCTCAAATCCTGCTCTGTTAGAGGGAAACACTTCTGAAACGAATCAAATCTCTGGTCTGCCTGTTGGGAAATGCACAGGTGACACTCACGCAAACACACATCCACCGGAAACTGCGCTATAAAACAGCCAACTCTGTTGATAATCATTGTATGAAGTAACGATGCAGCAGAGATAAAAGCAGATCGCCACCCGTTGTAGTTTAGCCACCTAGCTGAAAAGCTGACCTTGAGAGGGAAAAACCCTGCCACGTACACTACAAAATAGCCCAGTAATATATCCTAAATCACTCCATAGCTTCCCGTGCTGTGGTCACCTATTCAAAGTTATATGCAAGATACTCATGTTTAGTGCTGTCACTTGTCTTGACGGGGTGGGGGTTTTGTGTATTGACGTTATGTGACTGAAGGATGAAGATCAAGAAGGGAAGCACATTTTATGAGTCTACTACTTTAGGAACAGAGGGGTAAAAAAAACAAACCCCAAATCCTTTTATATTCTAGAATATATTCTATATTTATATTGTAAATGCTCCCAAGGCCACTAATACCAACAAATGACTGGAGAACACTGCAAACGACATGCAAGAACAACTGATGAAAGATATGTATTAAATATTTGTATAAGAGACGAGACAAAAGTTTTCCATAAATTAAAAAGAAAAGCAACAAGCAATTACACTTCAGTAGGGGTGAAACGGCTCTAAAATTATGGTGTGAACACAAAACATCCTACTGCTTCTTTCATTCTTTTGGTTTGTTTTGTTCTTTTGGTTATTTCACAACTTACTAATACACTTCCACATGAAAATACAAGTAGTTTAAATGGACTAAAAGCTGCTACAAAACAAAAACTAGCATGAAACTCTAGTGTATTACTAATCCAGCTGTTTCACAGTTCATCTCAAACCTGTGTGCGAGTACCAGAATATGATTGAAACAAAGTAACAAAATAAATTGAACAAATAAAAATTGAACGGATTTAACAAACGACAACAACAACAAAAAAGAATAAAAACCTGTGGTATGGTGGATGGGATGACAGTGGTCTCAGCAGGGACTGGTGGGACAGGGATCACAGGGACAATGGGAGAAGAGGAAGGAACAGCTTCTGTGGGCTAAAAATCACCAACAAAATGTCACAAATAACGAAAACTAGAAAAACATTTTAAAACAAACAAGATTCAAATTTAACACCTTAAAAAAACATCTGCAATAACGTAAGGATGTGGAAACTACAAGTGAAGACAACCAAGCCCCCGTAACCCTGCTGCACGTGGCAGCCCGTCCCCAGCAGCGGGAGAATGCCAGAGAACCCAGGGCAGAGGCGCAGGGCGCTCGCCCACCCTGAGCTCCTGACCCCGCAGCACCCAATGACGGGGCCTTGGGTCCAACTGAAGACCTGCCCGTGCCAGGGGACAGACTCAGGCTCTCTGTGGGCTGGCTTCACCCCAGCTGCTCCTCACCACTATACAGCAGGGGGCAAAAGCAAGGAAGGAGTGGTACCGATAGCACTGAGCAAAGTTCCTATTCCTCTTTGGTAAAGGGGAAAAACAGAAGTACATTAGGTTCCTTTTAATCTTTTAATCAAATGGGCAGAAGATCCTAAACCAGATTCTATCAGTCTCCCAAATCTGTATGATCTTCACACAGGTTTACCATACACCTTCAGACCAGCAGAATTTTGGTCTGAGGAATCTTCATTAAAACAATAACTGGGAAAGCTGCGGACACTTGAGCTGCAAGGGAACGAGATCACAAACAGCATTTTGAGCAAAACATTGACTCAAATCATTTTGAGATGTTAACAAACTGGTTGTGAACAAGCTGCCAGCAACATCAACTACTGGCAACTATCATCACAATTACAAGCTGAACAGATTAAAGCTCTTGCAGCTTCGTTGTTTCAAGATACTCTTGTGATCTTTAAATAAAATGAAGCATAATGACAAAACACTAAACCCTCAATACGAACCAAAAACCCAAAACAGAACAGTATTAAACATTTTAAAAGTCCGAGATATTTTAAAACACAAGGCAAGATACACCAACAGCATGCACCACATTGAAGACTAAAAGCAAATAGCAAAGAAACCTGAAACAGCCCAATAGCAACAACTCTCATTACGTGTGGTATTTCTACGGGTTTCTTCAGCTCAAAAAGTCAACTTACCCAGAATGAACGGCTGGTGAAAAATGTTGCAGTTACTGACCAGTGTAACAAACAGATATATTTGCTATCCCGAGAGATTATTACTAATGTCATTTAAACTTCCTTACATCTATGGACAGCAGCACAATCTTTCAAGTGCTAAAAAAGGGAGAGTGGGGGAAGAATCTGAATTGGTTTAGAAAAGCAATAATGTGCATTTTGCAAAGCATGCAGGAAATGCTCAGTGCAACAACCCTCCAGTTACTGGGAAGATGATACAACCGCTGGAGGACAGATCAAATCAAAGAGCTTGAGCAATCACTCAGTCCTACACATGCAAAAAAATAAGCCACCCCTCTGAGTCTGCCTCGTTGCAAAGTACACAGCTTGCCATGCATGAACACTGTGAGAGTCTTGTTAGCCAGAATTTCAGACATTCACATATTATATATCAAAACACAGCACAACATCAAGGCTGAAGAGCTAAGCGTTAGCAGGTCAGAAAAGATCCAGCTTTACAGTTACAACTCCTGCAAAAAGAGAAGGTTCAAGCCAAACCGCAGCCATTCTCAGACACTGACCTCGCACTTCCCCGCCCCTGGGCTCAGCACAACAACCCACCACCTCGCACTGCGCTCTCTTAAGGGCCAAACCACCTGCACCCCTCTCTTTGCACCAAATAGCACTTTCATTTTCCTGCCTCCTTTTTCTCAATTCCCAACTCCCACATTCCTCTGGGCTTCCCATTCCCAAATGCTTCAAGAACCTTCCCAACCAGTTCCAATTTTTATCCGTAGTATTTTAAAACTAACAGTGTTCCAAGTCCTTTAATTCTTTCAGGCCCCAGACTCATAAGCTATTAGCACTTCCACTGTATTTCCCCTTTTTGCTGCTGGTTTAGTAGCCACTGACTCTTAAAGTCGCTCCCTGCTCCTCCAAGCACCCTGGCCATGTTCCTGGTGAGTCTCCTCCACCAAGTGGGTGAGGAAGGAGGTGACAACACTGGCACCGCTCTCAAAGGACGCGCAAATCCAAATGCAGGTTAAGTCTTCACTTGAACGTTTCAGGGAATACAGTGAACTGATGCAGGCCCTAAGGCCACCACAAGGGAGGACAAGGCAAGAAATGAAAATGGTCTTTATCATCAGAGAAAGAAGACCTGGATCTTCCTTGTAAGAGAAGAATGCTGATTTTATTTTAGTACGGCACATCATCAGTCTGAAAATGATTATATGATACAGGTATTTGTGAGAGCAGCTGGATATGCTCCAATAGCCCAGAGTATCGCTTTCGATGCTCCCCAGAAGTTTGCAAGTAATATTCATAATCTTCAGTGTACTACTGGAGACTTCCTAAAGCATTCTGAAAAAAAAGCTTAGCCTCAAAATAACTTTAAACAAAGATGTCCGGTTAAAGCATCTAATGATCCTGGTTTAAATGAACAGAAACCAATCTAGACTACAAAGAAAGTAGTGGGCAATTAAAAACCTTGGGTTTGAATATACCTCTGAACACACAATTTTGATAGACTGCTGTATATTGGAATGCCTGACTTGAACAATAATTCACTTCAACCTATATATATATATATATATTCAGCCTCTATACATATGCCAACACCTACAACAAGAAGCCATTCTGTTACAACAGTATGATAAATCTCAAGTAACTTTTTTTAAAGCATAACGATGGACTTCATTATTTAAACATAAAAAATACTCATTCCAGTGGTATGTTTAAGCCAGTTAAGATAACGCCTCTAAGTGATCAATTAAAAGGAGTGCCTGAAAAATCTAATAGTAAGTCCAGACGTTGTGAAAAGGAAGAACAGACGCGTTTGCTTATGTTTAACCAACAGACAGTAACTGGTTCTGTGAGGACACATCAGCTAACCTGAAATCAAACCCCAGCACCATGGACACCCTGAAGCAGATCAACTGAACCAGCAGACTCCATCATGCTGCTCTTCGCAAAGTACTAAAAGACACATTTCGGAGAACAAAGATCAAGTAAACCAGACTTCCCTCACTTTCAAGAAATCCCTGTAAGAAACCCACACTGAACACAGTGCAACAACCTTCATGAGAAAACACCAAGCAGGATTTCTGTGCCAGCTCAATTTCAATTATTGCTACTTTGATTTCTAGCGATAAAACACTAAAGAACATTAAGTAACAAAGTCTCTAGAAATAGCAGGGATACAACTACAGGAAGGAAAAGGTGTGACGTATTTCCTCTGGTTTGCACTTAAAAAGCACACCTGTAAATCCCTCGCACAGCACCCACCTTCTCTAAAGAGCAATTGGAACAGGAGCCGTCAGACACCCAACCGCTAGCAGCTTTTACTTTGGCTGTGCTTTTCGTAGGACTCTTTTTCACGCTATCGCGTAGGTTTATAAATTTCCCTCTGTGTTTGGAGGACGCCGGCAGCGTGGATGAGCCGAACGCCGCGCGGGTGCTCAGCGCCCGCTGCTGATGCCGCGGAGGCTGCTGAGGCCGCACGGGCAGATTCTGACGTATTCCCATTCTCGGGCTCTTTGAGACATCGGTGAGCTTGAGCGTTCCCATTTCACCACCATCTGTAGCACCACAGCGTTTGTAGTCATCACAGCGAGCAGTCATGAAACCAGCAACACAAACAGTCCTTTTTGCAGGGAAAACAAACCAAAATACTGCTTCCTGAGACAGGCCAAAATAGACTTGTTTTCTAGATTGTGGCCATGGGAAGAAAGACTAAACGTTGTTTCAGCTAGTACTGGATGTTGTGCGCTCTCTCGCTCTATTTAAAGAGCACCATTGAACCACCACAAGGCAGTCAATTCGCTGGACATATCAATCAATGCGATGCACAAATTATGGAATAGATGGCAAAAGTCATCTGACTGTTTATTGAAAAGCAGCTGTGGAAGAAAATAACTATAACCTTCCTCACATAAGCTCCTGCTATCCCTAAACTTGATTGTATTTTACCACCTGGAAACTTCTGCAGGGTTTACATCTAGAAAAACTGAAATTAGACCGATTCCTCTACTTTTCTGAACACTTCACGTTCATTACTTTTCAGCCCCCATAAAGAAGCTTATGATGAAAAGTACAAAGGCTGTGAATTGGCAGATGTTGGGCAAGGTTTCAACATTGAACCTTCTTCAAGGAAAACCAATTTGTCAAGACCGTAACAGGAACAAGAATGACTTTGTGTCAGTGATTAAGAGCTGCATTTCCATGAAAGACAGCAGCACTGAGAGACCACAACTTTATGGTGTACACTGCTTAATTTAAATGACAAAAAAAACCAAGACACCTAAACAAACACAAGTTCTTTATTATTTTATTCATTCAGTTGTTAATGTCATGGATGCATGACCTCTATATGACATTTTTACTCCAATTTTCAAAACAAAAAGACTCCAAAACTACCAAAAAGCACACGATGAGGAGCTAACTTGATTTAATTGTGCCGTTGAATACTTAACTTTACCAGCCAATTTTAAAGAAATCACTCTGAAAAGAGGTAAAGATGAAGAGCTAATTTCCCAGAGCCTACATGAAAATGGATGGCTAAATAGACAGACCTATGTTCCCAGCCTTAGAGGGGGAAGCCGCAGACTCAAGCCATGCAGTCGTCTCAACAGTGGACACAGCCAGCGCTTGCACAGCTCGGAGCAGCCACAGCACACAGCGTCTGCCTCCTGCCCCACGGGTCTGCTCTAGGAACATGCTGTGAATCTGAATACCCAGCCCTGGCTATGACAAGATGAAGGACACCAGCCCATAGGACACAAAGTTTGGTTAGGTCAGCTGTATTTGGATAAAATAGAGAGATTTCATCAGTTCACAGCATTAAAACATGGATATTCTCCCTCTCACTGTACACTTTCCTACAGCAAATCCAAACACTGAAATAATGACTCAGCATAATTTTTACACACAGAATAAAAAACTAGAAATACAGACCTAAGTACAAGCATTTCCAGTTATTTATAGCACAGATATTAAGAAATAAATAGGAGCTGACAGATGCTCCTCTAATCACCAAGAGCTGCCATGTCTCATCTTCTACCCAGAATAGATGTAATCAAGAGCTGCACAACGTATCATTAATGCAATATTCATACGTGCAGAGACAGAAAGGTTTCTGGCCAGTGATAGGAAGCTGGAAATGTGGTGGTCACACCAAGATTCGCAGACCATTTGCATGTCGGTGGTAGGTGAGCCTTTGCCTTCAAAGCACCAGGGAACTGCCAGACTGTGTCCCGCTAACACCTATGGGTGTGGTAGGTGAGCCTTTGCCTTCAAAGCGCCAGGGAGCTGCCAGACTGTGTCCCGCTAACACCTATGGGCAGATGCACCCGGGTTGTTCTGTTCTAGACAACCCAAGAAGCTCTACATTTCGTAATTGAAGGGCAAAGGGAGAGAGGAAGATAAGCACATTGTAAATGTGCATACAGGTAAACCATTCAAAACCAGCACATCACCACTAACATTTTCTCCTTTGAGAACTTTCCACAGATGCATTAATACTGAGCAACATTCCCCATCCTGCAGGGATTCTGCAGACAGAGGCTGAGTCTTGTGTCGAAGTCTCTGTATCAGTATTCTCTTTGGCAACAGTGTGCTGGTGGCATGCTGTTGTAGACCACAAACAAACGTTTATTGCCACAGATGATATCAAGACTGCTGGATGTTTAGCAGGCTGCATTCATACCGCTCATTTTACCTGCGTATCAGTACCCTCTATTTTCTACCCAGCATGACATGGTCCAATTACTAAAATGCAGAAAGGAAGAAGCAAGCGGGCTTTGGGTGTAAGGTTTTTCTCCTGAGTACATAATAAATCCCAAAATATGTCATCCAGATTCAAAATAACATCTTATTCCTGGAGGCATCAACTTTGTTGAAATCATGTAGACCAAGTCGGCTCTTGATTAAAATCAGCTCTGAAGTGCACTAAGTGAGAAAGTGAGGGCAAGGAAAGCAGATGTTGGACACCACGTTCTTGGAAACCCAGTTGTCTGCCTTCCTATGTTCTCCTCCAAACAAGAAAGAGGAAGAGCAGAAGGCAAAAGATGAGACAAAGGCATTCACATCTCTCCAGTGCGCTTTCAGGCACGCAGACTTCAGTGGCCAAAGAATGAAGATGATGCAGCAGATAACTGGTAACAGCACAAGGCTTTTTCTGGAAGTCCTTATGCCTTTGGTCCCTGAGATTATATCAATACAGTATCAATAATTAAAAGAAAACAGAAACTTGAAAGCACTTGTAGCTCTGAGAGCAACAGTCCAAGCACCAAAGCACAGCCAAGGAACAGGAGGTACAGGCAGCACAGTTACCTCAGCCAGGGCTGCACGGCGTGCCAGGGAAATCTCTAGTGAAAAAACTTCCCTGCTGCACTCAAATTCAGTGTTAGGCAAGTACGGAAAGTGAAAATAGCATCTTGGTATAAAAACACGGCAAGAAGAGGAAAGGAAGGTATAATCAAAGTGCAGTACGGCTTATCCAGAGCAATCGTGGTGTAAACAAAATGCAAACAGACAACAAAAAAAACACCAAGGGAAAAAAAAGGCAGTTGAAAAGGCAAGAAGAATGATATTCAAAGAGATTGAACAGAATTCTGAGAGTCACAGGGATCATTTCACCCAATTCCACTCACACATGGGTAGGGCAGAGCCTGCCTTGCAGTCGCACTGATCGAAGAAAAGGAAACCAACTGTGGCAAAGCAGTAGGACACATGAATAATTCAAAGCAAGAAAAAGCAGTTATCTAACTAAAGCTGCACAGGTTTGGCAGATCCTCTTTTGACTGCAGAAAGCCTGAACCCACCAGTGTTCTCTGCAGACTGGATTCACTCCTAGCATGAACTGCCCCACTCCAATACCAAGCGCTAAGTGATTTTTCATAACCAGAAGGGTTCAGGATCAGGCTGTGCTTTCGTATTAGCACCAAAACGGTCAGTTTGCATGTAACACAAAGCTGAAGCATCAATATTTGATTCTTTCAAATTACTACATCAAATGTACAGTGTACACTTCTTTGGAGCAATCAGTTAAAGTAGTATTTCTTCAAGAATCATTTTCTTCCCACGGTCTGGAACACCCACTCAATAGCTGGATAATGACAATACCCATGACACGGGAACACAGTACTAATATTGCACCAGCAATGTCTACAGCAAAGTTCTTTTTTTTTAAAGCTTCAATAACCAGGTTTCATTACTTCAAAACGCTGTTCTAATAGCTGGGAGAATCCTCCGAAAATAAATGACACGGAAACACAGTACTAATATTGCACCAGCAACGTCTACAGCAAAGTTCTTTTTTTTTTTTAAGCTTCAATAACCAGGTTTCATTACTTCAAAACGCTGTTCTAATAGCTGGGAGAATCCTCCGAAAATAATTTAGCATCAAGGGGATTTAGAAATAAAACATACCACAAATATTTCTCTACTGCCAGAACAAAGTTTCATAGAAATCAAATAAAAAATTACCAAGTTTCCCAAGAGCTAAAGTGCAGAACTATCTGAACATCAGGAATCATTTAAGTATTGATTTGAAACTTCAAACAATGTTCGTATCTCAAAACAGCATTTAACACATTCAGAAATGCTAAATAGGCTGCACGTATTTACAAGGCCAAGTGCCGGGTCCTGCACTGTGG